TCCAAAGCAATGCTGCTGAGTCTGGCCGACAACATTGGAACCTTTGAGGACTCGGAAATTACTACCTCATCTGCTAGGATGAGAGTCACCATCAGTGGCCTTAAACCTCTAATCACTTGTTCCACTCTCGAATTCTATAATGGAGATGAAGTTAATGCTGAGCTAGTTTACGAGAAACTGGAAAAACAATACTCTATATGCTTTTGCTTAGATCATGATGCCAAGGATTGTGCCCAATCTGTGGACCAAAGGAAACAGACAGAGAAGTTACCTCAGCGTAGAACTGAGGAGCCTATAAACCAACCACCTAGAGTTGACCTGGAAAGATGAAATCACAGACTTGACGAGAGTAACTCTTCAAGACTCCACCAGCATGGAAAGGCTTCTAATCAGTCGAAGGATAAATTGGCTACAACTATCTCCTCCTACCATGGAAAAGGTATGGAGAAGAATCAATATAGACCAGAAAAGAGATTTCATCAGGAATATAATTGCAGAAATTCACATAACCCACATCGCTCTAGATCCTATAGTTCTTCTTACTATAGGGACTCCCATCAGATGGAGCCAAGATTTCAGAATCCCCCTCCCCCTCCTGTTTGGATGGAGAAGAGAAGAAGGAAACTACCTAAAGCTTTACTTTCATCCCATGAAAGTGTAGGATCATCAATCGAAAGAAGACTTACTCTGGAACGTGATGCTAACATATCCTAATCCTCTCTCCCCATTCCTCCAGCTGAAGTATAAGAAACCCCTGGAGAAATAAGAGATGTCATGGTGCAATATGCATCTTGTGCTGATCCTTCTGAGAGTGCAGTCTGCAAGGTATGAACCAAACAAGCTGAGGTACATGTTGATTTTGAAGAAACCGCGGTGCAAATGGTTAGAGCATCCTTAGCTCTAGCGGAGGCAGAGAGACATACCAGTAGTGCCGAAACCTGAACTCCTCTCAGTCTTAGGCTAGGACCACTTAATGATACATCTATCCCTGAGATGGCAGAAACCAATGCACAAAAGCAGCCTATTAAAAGAAAGCTAGAAAGGCCACCAGGAAGTAAAAATGGGACTGGGGCATTACCTGCATAAGGAAATGGAGCTAAGAGGAGAAACGCAGATGTTGTCCGACCATCTCCCAGGAAAAGGATGATCAAAGGAGTAGGAATAAGTGTGAGGAGATTGAAATAATCTGAACCTGATAATGCGGGACCTAGAAGCATGAAAACTTTACCATCAATCTCAATTGTCCCTCCAAGGTTACCTCCTAAACCATCTTCAAAGATCCAT